AAATAATTTACTCACTTTTATTTCAACTCAAAATCTAACTCAACTTTAACCCAACCCCACTATCTTTAATATTATTCATATAATTAAATAAACAAACCAATCATTCTTACACATCACATCAACTTTAATTCACTATTCATTCACTCACATAATTTTAACTACCAATCATTTTCAATCATTTATCTCTTCTTTTTACATCAAATCAATTCTAATTATTTTATTTTAAATATTATTTTAATACATTCTTAAAATTCCACTACAACTAACCATACATTTTTTTCAAAATTAACTATAGTTAACCAAAATAACTCAATTTGAACAAATTATTTCGTAAACAATCAAGCCCTTAGGGTTCTCATTAGTTATATTAGGGATGTGTTTATTTGTTTGCTTGATTTTAAATTTTTTCAGTTTTTATTTTTGGCTTGAAATGGTGTACTTGGGTTTGGCAATTGAGTGGTCCCTTTGTTGAATTCTTGAGGACTGAGTTTAAGTGCGGAAAATATTTGGATTGTTCTAGTACAAAAGAAAACTTGGAACTGTTTGTGGGCTAATATACAGCAATGGATGATTTCACAATATGAGTTCAATACGTACATGTAGTTTAGAGCACTCACAATGCTTTGAGTCTCTTTTTGTATATGTGGTAAATAAAATAGACTTAAGTCTATATTGACATGGACAAACTCAACTAAAAAGTCCAAAATCTATCCAGCAAAACAAAAAAGTACTAGGTCTAGAATACCTAACAACCAACAAAAATATAGTAATAATAAATGCATACAAAAAAATGTGTTTTGCCTATTAAAAAATAAATTGTGAACAATTAATGACTAGGCGGGTTTGCACTTAGGTCCAAAATAGACCCAAGTGTGGACTTGGTTTCTTTTTTCTAGTGTCACGTAAGTTAGACTAGGTCCACTTTTAATTGTATTACAACAACAACAACAAAGCCTTTTAGTCCCAAACAAGTTGGGGTAGGCTAGAGATGAAACCCAATAAAAACAGTAGTAAAAAAAAAA